AACATGAAGAGATCTATGGATACATCTCTCAACACCCATATGAAACAGAACTGTAAGCAGATTTTCTTTTTCTTTATCAATCAATCAATCACATTTATTTATAAAGCACATTTAAAAACAACCCACGTTGACCAAAGTGCTTATGGATATTTTACAAATCACTCCCCCTTTAAACTGTATTCTTGTTTATTAATAACAACTTTTCTTTACTGTCATATAGATATTTTTTTTACCTGTTTTTCATTTATTCTTTTATTTTTTTTACAACTGTAATGATCATATAAATGTGTGCCTTTACCTCACTGAGCTGAGGTTATTTGAGCCTCTCAATCTGTCTGGAGAGAGCTGTCTTCCACCTAGTTGTAGAAAAAGCTCCTTATATTCTTTAGCATAGCTAGCTAACCATATGCTAACAATCCTCGGTACGGCTCTCTCTCTCTCTCGTTCAAACAAAATGCGCTAGTGCCACACACACACACACATTTGAATACTTTATTTGGTTCCACAAATTATATTACATAAGACAGGGAATCAAATATATCGGGGCCAAGCAGCACAGAACACTTAGGGGAACACATAGCACCTCCTTCTCCACACGGCTAAGCTGCCAATAATAGCTGAAACAGAGCAATATTTGGCAATTTGTTTGGCTTTTCTCTTTGACATTCCAGCAATTCTCAGACCAATCATGGTGCATTTATATACATGGCCAAGACTTCCGAATATAAGTATGCTGTATCTACACTTGTACCCAAAGCTGGTTATCACATCGAGCAGTGGTTGGTATTTGATATACTTGTCCTGGAAAGCCTGGTCCATGTACAGGTCAAAGGCACAGCCTACTTCTAATATTAGCACCTCCCTGTGGTTGGTGTCAACAAAAACAACATCAGGTGTATTTGGGATGTTAGCAAAGACATCATTGGTAAAGCCAAACCATTCTGGTAGCACTCTAGCGTGCTTGTACATTGCTGCGCTAGATGGTAAGATGTTTCGTACCGCATCAGACACAATGTCCACAATACGGTCATGACGGGCTATGTACAGGCGTTTGTATGCATTACATCCATTTGTTATGTGTGCAATGGATTCTAGGTGTTGTTGTGAATCCTGATGGTTTAAACAGAATGGAGTGTGAATGCGAGGGTACCAGGTGGACAGATTGTACTTAGTGGGTAATACCTGCAGTCTTGCTTTGA